AATTTTTGGTGTTTTAAAACGAAACAGCTAATAAAATCTACAGTTTTTTTCGATTAAAAGTTTCTAACTTCATGTGAGCAAGCTATAAATTGTTAGATAGTCAATCGGTTTTACAAAAAAGCCATAAAGGGGTATCGCGAGATAATGTGAGGTTAATCTTTGGTTTTATAAAATGTCGATCATTTTTTTAGCCAATCAAAACAAATTTCCATCATTCTATGTGGATATTCGTACTATTTATTTCCTGGAGGGGTAGAAATTATAGCAGAAGTTACCGATGATCATATCACATGGATGGCCCGAAGGGTCATCAATGTGCTATAACCATCAGTAATCTCTGCTATAATTTCTCCCTAGGGAATAAATAAATAATCTCTAGGAGGCTATAAGGATAACTAAAAGTTCTGGACGATTAATTCTTAAAATCTTTTTGATTAGTTCCTATTTGTATATTCATAATCATTTTTTAGATTAGTTAAAATTGATGATGATGACATAGATTTATATTTATGTTCTTCGATAATGATTACCATATTCTATAACAGCACCTTCATTCATTACAATAGTTTTTGTGGCATTACGAATAGTAGACAATCAATGAGTAACAACAATAGTCTAAAGAGCAAAATTTTTTGTTAAATTTTTAACCCAAAATCTAATCCTAGAAATATTTACCCAAAATAACGCCTCAGGAAGTTATTTTGGTTAAATAGTCTAAATGTCAGCTTCAGCTTTCAAAACAAATATTTTTAACTCAGTTCTATTTTTAGAGGTTTTATTCAATGCGTTTTGAACAATTTTTTCACTTATAGAACCAAGAGCACTAGTAGCTTCATCTAGCAATAGTATTTTTGAATCTTTTACAATAGCACGAGCAATAGCGATATGTTGTTTTTGACCTCTAGGCAAGAGTATTTCACCCTCACCAACCATCGTTTCATACTGATTAGGAAGTCTTACGATAAATTCGTCAGCATTAGATATTTCACAAGCATTTTTAATCATTTTATATTTTTCCTCGTCAGACATGCTTTCATATATTGAGCCAATTAATCCATGTGCAACATTATTAACTAAAAAAAAAATCAATTATTAACTTCAAAGTAATCATTTTAAAATTAATTAATATCCACAAATTGTATCATTAAAAAGTACAGGTTCTTGTTCTACAAGACTGATTTGCTGACGGAGCCATTTAATATTAAGAGATTTAATATTATTATCAAGAATAATTTCTCCAAAGTCAGGATTATAAAACCGTAGTACCAGCAAAATAATCGTACCTAAAAATAAATACTCAAACTTTTATCAAGAAATTTAAATATAAGGGTGATTACTGTACATACTCTTTCCTGAACCAGAAGCACCAACAATAGCAACAGATGTCCCAGATTTAATGTCCAATAAGATATTATCTAAAACTTTAACATTAGGCCTAGAAGGATAACTGAATGAAACATTTTTAAACTGAATATGGCCTTCAACATGGGCAGGAATTTCACCATTTGGTGAGGCAGAATCGATCGGTAGAACAAGACCAATATTTCCAACTGCAATCGCAAAAGCCTGTAAATCTGGTGCAACATTTGCAAGAGAGAATGCTCCAATAATCACAGGAAAAAAAGCATTTATCACCTTAAATAAAGTGTTAGCTCGAATTAATTCTATAAATGAATACTGTCAAGAGAAAAACCTGTTATCAGCTTTCAACTATATTTTGTACTAGACACAATCAAATAAATTGAGTAAATTGAGTCCAGTACAAAATATAATTAAAAGCCTAATGACAGGTTTTCCCTTGACGGCACTTAAATAGAAAATTTCTAATATAAAATAGAGATAAAAACCTGACCAGGGGTCATTTCATTTGCAAGAATTAAAGTTGATCCATACCAGAAGGCTAAAGAATAGGTTGTATAAATAAAAAAGAAAAAAGATCCAAGACTAACTTCTTGTAATATTGACTTTTTAATTCCTTCATTTTTTGCATTTACTAAATAATTATCATAAATGTTTGATAATTTCTCTTGAATACCAAATGCCATGGTAGTTCTAATGATTGATTCCTCTGCAATTTTTTCTGCTAAAGAATAATTGTCCAAACTTCGTTTAGCAAAAATAGCAATAAATTTATTTATTATGGCACTTGTAATTCGATCAATAAAATCAAACAACAAATAACTAAATTTATTTTTCACCTTATAATGAATTGCAAAGCAGTAATAAATTGAACCGTATACTATAAATAAATAATAATTTTTAATGTTAATTAAATCTTGAACATCAACAATTAAAGTATTTCAAACTTATTTACTTGAAATGAAAGAGAAGCCTTTTCACTGATGCCATCTTGAATTAAATAAGTATCATTTACAATGCGAGTAGTAATTTCACCTGCACAATGTTATCAAAATAAGCAATGTTTTGTCGAAGGATGGAGCGAGGATATCTTTCACGAATTTTTCGTGTAATTCTTTAAAGAAGTAAGTAAATAAAAAGAGCTGACAAATAGTTTATATATAAATACTCATATCTTCTATACTATTATATCTTTCTCCAGTGTATACCCAGGTTGCCATGTAAATATAGGTAGCAACAAATGTACTGATTGCAATATATATTAAATACAAGGAGTACTTGCTAATTTGGTAAGAAAATTCATCTTCGGAAATATTATGGTTTTGAATGAGAGTAAGGTAATCTATCATTTTCCCATAAATAACTGCCATTAAGGGCTATTTAAAAGAAATACATATATTAAGCCTAATTATCAAGTTGATTATCTTATGAAAGGTATGGTAAATAAAATACTATGGCAACATCAGCGATACTAGAAAACATCAGACCGACAAACATTATCAGAAAATCAAGTTTTGTGGCAAATCGATATAATTGACCATAAGTTGCTTTTGTTCTATGCACTAAATTTTTCTCAATTTGTATCGCAGCAATTCATTTTCAAGTTGGTATTTTGAGAAAATCTAAATATCTGTAAAATATATTGTTTTCACAAACTATTTAATTTTTCAATTTTTAAAATTTGAATTTTTGTTTATGTTTAATTAGATAAAGTAGTGGCCTGATGATAAAACTTCCATTTTGTATATATGAATTCTTATAAATTGAATTAAAATACAAAATTGTTGTGCTTAAAAGAATACACTAATAACAGTTTATTAGTGATGTTTAACACATATTGATTTACTATTATATATTAATAACTTATTAACTAAGAGATTAATTAACGTATCTACTAATCTATTAATCGAGTAATCGATTTTTAATGATCAATTACATTTTTTGCCTCGATTCATAACAATAAAAGAAAAAAAACTGTATGAAGCTTCATTCAAATTATAAAATCAATTGAAGACATCAATTGATTATTTTAGAACTTGTAATTGTCACTCTGGAGGGCTATAATTAGCTGATAAACACCAATTCCCCAAGACTTCTAATGCTAATTCTAACCAGTTAATATTGACTTCAATATTTAAGAAACAAATTAAATATTCAAAAAATAATTACACATATAAAAAGAACATCTTTAAGATATTAAAGAAGTCTTTATTATAATATTTGCCATCATATTCATGTTAAAACTTCGTATAATTTTTAGAGGAACAAGTATGCAATTGCAATTGCAAAAAGTTGTAATTCTTTTAGAAACTGATAGTTATATAATGCAAACTAAAATTGAATAGTGTTAATTAAAATTTCAATTCATAGTGTTAATTAAAATTTCAATTCATAACAATAAAAATTAAGATTGATAATTGTAGTAGTTATTAAAAATTATTTTATGAAATTACTTTATGAATTGAAGTTATAATAAATCTAATTCAACTATATAAGAACAAAAATTGGTTAGATAAAACGAAACATGGATGAACTTCTGTGTAAAGCCACGTTTTTGGCAGCACTTGAGGATTATAATTATGGAAAGTACAAAACTTCTTTTAAAAAATTTGAAGATGCAGCATATAATTATAAAATAAATACAGATTATAAAGATAATGCAAAATATTATTTGGTATTGCATTATAAAGACGGGAGCTCTATTAAAAAAAAATGATAATAAAGCTTATGACCTCTTTAATCAAGTTGCCTAAAGTCATTCAACATATAATGATAATGCAAAATATTATTTGGCAAAATGCTACGAATTTGGGCTAGGTGTTAGAAAAGATTACAAAAAGGCTTTTAACATCTATTTAGATCTTTTGGGAAGTAAGTCACAATATTATTTTAATGGAAATAGTACTGAAAAAGATTACAGAAAAGCTTTAGATAATGTTAAATTTGAGCTGGCAAATTGCTATGAAAATGGTAGTCAAGGTTTTACTAAAGATGTTGATAAAACCTGCCAACTCTATTTAGATCTCTCAAAAATTGAAAAGTATCAAATTCATGCTTCTAAATGGCTGGCAAATCATTATAAAAATAAGGATGATGAAAAGTATTATTACTACTATAATTTAATTCATTCAAAAGAAAAGAAAAGATAATAATATAATAGTTGTAAAATACAATTTGACTATTTTTCTTCTCTTTGATTAAAGCTTTTTTAGTTGAGTTATTAATAATGTTAATAAAATTATACAATGTGAAATGAATTTAAATCCACATTCAGAAATTGTACCCAGTGACAAATTTTAAATAATGTATCTTCTGGTCAAAATCTCTACACGATAACCATAGTTTGTGACAAATAGATCAATTTTTGACCAAAAATTTGATAAAAAGGAAGGTTTACATCTACGCGACTATCAATATAAATAGAGAGATATCAATCTGTTTTAACATTATACTATCACAAATAATGTCTGAACAAGTTTACAAAGTTTACAAAGAATTTGAGTTTACAAAGGATTTGAAGGTAAAACAAACTATATTAAAATTCTAAACCATTTATTTAATGTTGATTGCGCAATAAATGATTATGACAAAGTCTTTAAGATTCCTCGAGAAATTCAAAATTAAGGCGATAATTTGACTAAAAGTCAAGTCCAAAATAAAATGGGATTTCGCTTACTTTGTGGTTATGATTGTCATACTAGTGCAAACATTTGGTTTAGAACTTAAGAGTCAAAAAAGATTTGGTGCAAGCAAAGCTAGTAGAAATAATATAAGATATAACCAAGATTAAAGATGTTAGTAAGTAATTTCACCTATTAGTGTAATTGGTTAGGCATGCAATATTATTATATGTAACTAATAACAAATCTATATATATTGTTTTTGTGATTGGTTAAATTTTTATTTTTATTAAATATATATTATAAAATCTAAATTATTTTAATCAAATATCTTCTTTTATTTGTTTTATATATGCTCTTTAAAGTTAATCTGATATAAAGCTCTTAGTCCGCTTTAATCTTAAAAAAAAACTATTTGGTTATATATAAAAATAGAGTTCCGAAATTAATAATCTTGAAATATATGTTTTTATGTTAAATAATAACAATAAGTTATTCAACAGTTGAGTAGTCAAACTATTAACGTGAGTCAAGTTACAAGACACTTGAAAAAACAGTTTGGTAATCATGACTATGTCAGAGAACAGCTTGCTATACTTAAAAAGAATAATGAAGATTTAGAAGCTTTAGTTTCTGCTAGAATATTCAAATTACAATCTTGATGCCAAATCGAGTGGTTCTCGAGGAATTAATATTTCGCTTATAAGAACTGATGACGATTGGTTTTATTAATTCATTTGCTTGGTTACTAGTTATTGGATAATTGATAAATATCACGATATTAACCAATCATATTTTTTTTGTAAATTTACTAAAATGGATAATTAATAAACATTGCGATATTAACCAATCATATTTTTTTGCAATTTTACTAAAATGGATAATTGATAAACATCACAATATTAACCAATTATATTTTTTACAGAAATGGATAATTGATAAACTTCGCACCAACTTTTTAAAGATCTCTTTTGTATCAACTCATATTCCATCAAAATTAACTTCGGATGATGAAGCGTATTGCATTCATTCTTTTTCTTTTGTTATTCAAAACATTCAGAGGATTTCTCTTTAAAAAAAACTTATAAGCAAAAAAATGAACAGAGTTAGGATCATTTAACTAAAATTTCTTTCCCAATTATTAACATTCAAAAATTCAATATCATTCATAGGAATGGGATTATTAGGTTATTCTTTAAGGTTTATACTTGAACTATTTTTTTATTTAAATTTTAAACTTATCAACATTATATTAATTACTCTTAAATACTTGTTTGAAACTAGAACAACTGAATACTAATTTCATTTCTATTTTATATGCATTGCTTTAAATAATAAACACTAAATTTACTATTGATAAACGACTGCGTAATTGGCTTTGAAATAAATTTAAAGTCAGAGTATAGTTCCACACTTTCTACCCATTTGTTTAAAGAAGGGACGAACTCTTCAGAAATAACCCATTTAAATCTTTATTCATATGATGTTTTTGGATTATTTCTTTATATTCTTCCATTATACTTTTATCCAAAATTAAACTTCTTGAAAAGCTTCCCTAAAAAAACAAATATAATTTAGATAAATGAATTTGATTATCGTAATTATATTTACTGGTTAAAATTATCTATGGTTACCTTGAGAAAATCAATTGTATCATTTTTAAGATAAGAACGAGCCCACTCATAAGATATATCAATAACTTCTATTCTTAATGGGTCATTGCCATCAAATTTTGTTAAATCTGTCTTATTTAAAGTTTACAGTGCATTATAAATATCATCATAAGCACTGCGTGCTTCATTTGAATATTTTAGATCTGACCTATTTCGAGCCTAATTTAAAAAATAAAATACAATATTTACACTGTACTAAATAAATAGAAAGTAACAGTAAATTTAACAGTTGATAGTACTTTCCAATAGACTCTTTAAATTTGAAATATGTATACAAATATCATTTTGATCCTCATTTTCACATGAAGTAGAAGAAATAGCAAGTTTATTATTTTCATGTAAGGAACTTATTGCTAATAAGGTAGCTTTTACCTAATTATGAATTAAGTGTTAGATAAAATTTCTTCATCAAATAATTTAAATAATGAAAAAATTAAGTCAGAAATATTGGCATACCTTTTTAACTTATTAGATAACAAGGCCAGCCCAAATTCAGAATCCCAAATAATAGTTGGTACAACAAGGTCAACCCTACTTCGATGATATTTTAAACTAGTTTAAAAACATCCCCTACTGAGTCGTGCTCATTGCAACAATTCATAACAGAATTCTTACTAAGCTGTGCTTGTTACATGAATTTAATGTAAAATCTATCATGCTATAATAGTATAATCTGATTAAAATAATATTTACTGTATCTTCAGGCATTTCCTTTAAAACATTTAGTCTTTCTTGTTTTTGAATATCAAGTGAAGTATCTTGTAAAGCATGTTCAATTGCGTCGTAAAAACTTTTAATTTCTATTTTTACATCTCCAGTCCACGTTTTTAACTCAATTCTACTGTGCAGAATAAGTGTAGGATCAAGAGATTCTGTAGGTACAATTTGAAAATTTATGTTAGACATGATAAATCGTGATTAAAGATTATCAGTATTGGAAAAATATATTGATATCTAAAAATAGATTAACCAATAAAATTGTAAAAACAAAAATCACGAGGTTCTGCATACTAATCAGATTAATTTAACGAAATCTTTAGAATACATTATTATTACATTATTACTACATACTTGATTTATACAAATTAGAATTAAACTTCATATTTATATAATACAAAATATTAAAAATTGTTATAAAAAAATACATTAATACAGCTGACTCTGGATATACCGAACTGCATATTCTGGGAGTTTTTGATCGGTATAGAGTGAGTTCGTTATAGAGCGTACTCTTTCTATACCAAACAGTTCGGTATACAGAGCTAACCAAGAAGAGTTCAGATGCAATATATAAAAATTTACTATCATTATAACCAGCCTAAACTATGATAAATAATCGGTTTTGATATATATCGAATTTAAAAAAAGCAACCCCGAAAAAAAACTATAAAACAAACACCAATTATCAAATTACTTTAGTATGCTGTGGTATCAAAGGTGCTGCTATTTGAATGAAGCGTTATAAATAAATAAAGCTCAGTTATTTCATTCTTGTGATATCGTTGAGTAAGTATTCATATTCAATTCCTTAATCTTTTTAATCAATTCATTTTTAATTTTGACCTGTTAAGATATTTTTAAAAACTAAATAATTTATGTCAATTGGTTATTTAATTGCAATATACAACATGACTATAAAACCTAAATAAAATATTTATTTAAGGCAATTAAATAAAAATTTATTAAAATAAGTTAATTCACATAAATCAACACTTTTAATTATATTTCCAATTCATTTACTCATTTGCAATATGTAAATTTTAACAATATCCAAAAAAATTTAAAATAATTCACTAACTGAATTAAAAATTGTGCATTATTAACAAAAATTTGGTAGGAAAAAGACTTGGATGTAAATGATTACGATTCACCAGGATGGTCAGAATGTGAAGAGTGGTATGGAAATAAAGGGGAATTATATGAATATTGTGGTTGCTCCGTGTGCAAATGGAAAGGCGACAGAGATCACATCTGTCCGCCTCTAAATCTGTTAAGAAACGTTATGTGGCATTCCAAACTTTTTGGCGATAACTTGTCATTTCTTTTTGGTTTGTGTGGGTGTGTGGTTGTGACCATTTTGCCCACAATGCACAAAAATATTTTATAAATTATCGCGGGGTCAATATAAATCAGATTTGTATTTGAAAACTCAATTTACATCATTTAGGTTTAAAGATAAATATTCTTGATGCTTGATGGTGAAAAAGGAATAAATAAGTTGACTCGTGTCGAATTTGGCCAATCAGAATGTTGATACTATTAATTAAAGTTGAAATCATCTTGTGTAACTTGAATTATGGATAGTTCTTGAAATAGCGATCAGAAAGAAAATCATTACTTAAATAAAATCACAGTAGTGAAAGTACTGTTTACTGTCCCAACAAACCAAATTTTTAGAAAGATATTTTGACAAACTTGATCAAATTCAATGACATTTTTTTTATTTTGATTCTATAAATAGTAGTGTTTATCAAATGAAATAATAGTGTTCATCAATTGATTGGTGTGATCTTAAATAATATACAATTTAACGCGATAAGAATTAAGTGACATAACGTTTTCTCTGGTTAAATTATTATCAATAATATTTAAACAATTAGCTATATGTATAAATTGGATATCAATTTTTTCAGAAATCAGAAATCACAATTGTAATGGAACAATTTAAACTTGATACATTTGAGACTGGAATCTTCTTGGCTGGGATACTTGTTAGTTTGTTATTGTATTTTACTATTATCTGTTTCATTATACAAAAATCCAATTGCTCAAATCATTATGATTGGAGAAAGAAAATTGACAATTTTTAAAAACTTTTTTTGAGCTTAATTAATATAAAAGTTCTAGAAACATTTTCACTTTACAAAATTAAATTGGTCTTAGCAAAAAGACTATAAAATCTCACAATTGGCCTAGCATAAACAAGATCCCATCAAACCATATAAAATATATATCGAATTTAAAAAAAAACCAACCCTGAAAAAAAACTATAAAACAAACACCCAATTATCAAATGACTTTAGTATGCTGCGGTATCAAAGGTGCTTTAGTTGTGGTGCCAAAGTTGTTACTCAATTAAACCCTTAAATTTAGAGGAAATTTTTAATGTAAATATTAATACCACTAAGATTTTGATGTAGTTAGAATAAACATTTTAGGGTCTTGTTTATCTGAATGAATTGTTATAAATAAATAAAGCTTAGTTATTTCATTCTTTTGGTATCGATGAGTAAGTACAGTATTCGTATTCAATTCCTTGATTTCTTTAGTTAATTTATTTTTAATTTTGACATGTTAATAATTTATATCAATTGGTTATTTAATTGCAAAATACAACATGACTATAAAAGCATAAATAAAATATTTTATTTAAGGTAATTAAATGAAGAAAGTTTACAATTTATTAAAATAAGTTAATTCACATAAATCAACACTTTTAATTATATTTATTATATTTCCACATTTGCAATATGTAAATTTTAATAATACCAAAAAAATTTAAAATGATGCACTAAATACACTAAAAGTTGTGCATACTATAACATGTTCTTAGCACTAGAGACTCATTGTAATATCAATTATGAGTGTCTTGATATGCTTATTGAAGTAGCAGAAATTTTGCAAAAAGAGTTTGATAAAACAGTTGAACAAAAAGAAATCAAAAATGATCTGAGAAAACTAACAAGTAAACTTAATATTCATAGCAGCTATTTTAGAAATCATAATAATTACAAAGTATTAAAATCTGTCAAAAATTACCTTTTTAAACAAGGCTATTACATTTTTGAAAGGATAACACCATTGCTTCGATTTAGAGATTATCGAGGAACTGCTAATGAAATTGTAAAATATTTTAATAATTATGCTTGTATAATTTATAAAGGAAATTTAACTAAACAAAGATACCAACTAAGAAATTTACTATTACTAAATTCATCAAAGCATCACATGAATACTTTACAAAATTTGAAAAAATTGCGTCACAAAAAATATAAAAAAAATTCATGGCAATCAAATTGACAAATCAAATAAATCTAAAATAATTACATATATTTTCTGAAGATTCATTCTAATTGTATAACTTCACTTCAAATTTCCTAAAAAATCGATGAGCTTACATACTTAATAATTGTAATATGTTCTTCATATTTTTTATCATAAATTGTGAATAATATGTGACATCAGACTAACACATAATTTTTATCCAATCCAATTGTAAGACAGTGTTCAAAATCGCAAAGGAAATTAGCCTTGTCATTTAATAAAAGTTTTCGATACAAAAATTTGACATTGTATTGCATGTAAAATTATGGAAGTACAATCTAAATTTCTATTTAATTATTAGAATTCTTTTTGATACCTCCCAAATCTTTACTATGCGTTGTACCAAAACACCATGCTCTGTTGTGAGTATTAACAAACAATCTTCTAACCATCTAAAATGGATAAAATTTCACCGATCCGTTTATCAATTTTTTTTAATTGTTCATAATATTTCTCAGAAATGAATTGTAATAATGTTTAGCTTCATCAACATCTGTAAGATGAATAACAAAAAGACTAACATTTTCGAATTAATCTATTGAATGATCTCTTTAAATTTATTCACAACATATAGAATTAAAATAAAAAAATTTATCTGATTTAATAATACATTGTTTAATTATTTAAATTAGAATAATACTGTCAATAATGAGTGTATTATAAAAGAGAATTATAGCTAATTACAAGTTTTTTTTTTTTTTTTTTTTTTTTTTTTTGTGTCTTTCTTTTTTTTATTTTTTTTTTTCTTTTGTTTTTTTTGTTTCTTCTTTATTTGTTGGTTGTCTCCCTTTTTTTTCGGCTTGTTT